TCCTTATCATGAACGAGAGTTGAAAGCGTCAGAAAGTTCATTTAAGGTTTTACGTCCGAACAGATAAAAATTTTTTGCACAAATGAGTCTAGATGCGGATATGGAATCGTTTTCATCAAAAATAGGTCAAGTTTGTGTGCGTACATTAAATTGGAGCTGGCAAAAAGTGCTGGGGCTTAACTTTTCACAAATGCGCTTTTTGCATTCGTGGCGGGGCTTATCTGGAAAAGATCCGCGGTCACACAGAGTAGGACAGATCGAACCACAAATTTCGAAGGTTGGCAAACGCTACCATGAACTTCATAATTCTGTAAACGATTCTATCCTCTGTCAGTCCACTGAGGCTTATTCAGCTGCCAAGATAGACGAACTGGTCTAACACATTGATGAGTTCATCTGAAAACATGAGGTTTAGTTTTGATCCCACCCAGTCTTACAGCAGCAATTTACACTTTCTAGGTGTCAAGGCCACTTCAAACTGTGTGGCGCAATTATTTGAGTTGTTTATAATTACAAGGAACGACAATATCGTCAACGAACATAACTATTTTGACCAAACACCCTGAGAGTAGTTCAATCTTCGAGGTGATGCTTAAGCAGCAGATCGATCAAGAAATTAAAGAGAAAGAATGACAGAGGATGTCCTTTTTTCATGGGTGATATCGACTCGCAGGTGAAGCCAATCGATCGTTCAGCTGTAGCACCCTTTCGGTGCCTAGCTGCCGTGCCATACGAAGGAGGCACGAGGACTGGGATAATACGAGGTTGCCCAAGCATAGACAGGAGAGTCGAGAGGCAGAGGTCGGGTTCGAACCACGGACCTTCCGGTCAGTAAATCCGCGCTCTAATCACTTGGCCCAACTTGTCGGGCTATGGAAGTGAGATACTTCGTGACTACTTACTCTCTGTTGGCTTACAGATCCTGAAGCCACTCGATGCCGAAGGCCGAACAGCATTGCTCAGCTGTTTCATCCCTACCGAGAGCATCAGCATTGCGTATCCCACGAAACACCAGGGCATTTCGAACCCGTGTCCTCCCAACTAAGAGTGTGATCATCAGTATGATTGGCTCCCAGGTAGGTGGGATATAGCGCCATTCATCCTTCAGTCACGAAATCCGTGTCACGTGCTCTCGTGTTGACTGGTCGTCGTGTGAATTACACTTCCTTCTGCGCTACTTACAGATTATTAGTAGTGAGGAGATTTTGGGATTTCTTTTCAACAGCGAGAGGACATCTTTGCCTGACACCACTGGATTGGTGAACTCAGTAAACAGCTTGTCGTAGGCCTATAATTGTCCATGAGTGAGGTAAACAGAATCCTCACAATTGAAAGTTCAAAACAAATACCATGCATCGCCAGACACTGCCGTAGTTTCTGCTAATCAGCGGAGCCCAAAGCAACTTTCAGATAATGAAGTACGAGCATTGTTAATCAACGGATGACGGGTGCAGTTCCAGGACCAGTTGTAACGTAAAGATATGACGGATGCAACTCTAATCAGGGTGAAATCCAGCTTGCTTCTTGTAAATCTAATTCTCCGGATGACGGATAATCCGAGAGAGTATCTTGGATGACATACCCGCCGAACTTACACGATGATCTGCGACTGTTTGTGAATATAGGCTTCAATGTCAAAACTCTCCACTCCTTCCGCGTTCTGCCACCAGGCTGGTCACGAGAGATTCATCACCCGTGTTGGAGATTGAAGGATGTCAACCTTCAGGACGGGGTGTTTATTGCGCTGTGATAGTGAACTTTAACGCTGAACTTCCATTGTCAATGGGGCGTAGGTGCTCCATTCGGTTCCGTGTGGTCGTTTCGGAGGTTGAGTTGAAGGGGCCAGCCGATTTATTCTCCAAAACTACATTTCTTTGATCAAATTTTTCGGAGTTCCGTTCACTAGCCCACGCCGTCCTCACAGAAGTTGATCGCATTAGACTGCTTCCTTTATTTCTTTGGCGTTCGTGCTCCACCAGCACTCTTTATCGTTTAGCTTTTGTGGAATCTGCTCGTGTTATCGTGATCGTCTGTTGAATATACAGTCTCTTCCTGGTATCGGGGAAGGCTGTAGTGAGATCCAGTGTTCATTTGGGTGCGCGTACGATCTCGGACAGATAGTTTCAAAGGCTTTAAGTAGGGCCTCGTTAAACCTTTCCCAGACTTCATCCGAAGTACTATTCTGCCCGTCGAACTCAGCCATCTCAACAAGATGCTGTTGGGCCAAAGAGACTTTTCGCATGTGAATTGAATAGGCCTTGTCATCACCCGGATCTGGTAATGTTTTGCCACTCTGGTTGGATTTGTGGAGGTTTTGAGGACGCCATTCAGGTCACAGCCCATCAAAACCAGCTAGCCAAGCGAGATCGCAGGCGTGGTCATCATCAGTTTCCCACCCGATATCCAAGTGAAAAATCGTTACATTCTAGTGTTTGTTGATTGTTTTACGAAGTGAGGCGATCTGAGCAAGCCATTCTCAAGGTTCTCCAGAAGGTGAAACAACAGAACCTTTGCCAACACACCGTCCATCTAAAATATTGTAAATTTTCTACAACCGTACAATTCCCATAGGGGGTCAAGTGGCACAGCAAAGCTCTTTTCTCTGTTCATTATAACATTTCAGCCAATCGATACAACTTTGCTGTTCCATCTAGAATGATAAAAATGACCATGAGCACAAACCTATTCGATTTTGCGTTACCAGACGTCTGTACTACAAAGCAAGATAGAATATATCCGCTCTGCTTGTCACCGGCACTTCTTTGAGTTCTGTGTCAATGTGAACGGCTTCACTGTTGGATCGCGTAAGCAGTTCCTCTGATGATGTTGTGATCGTCAGGTAGCCCTGCTTGTTCTCAATTTACGCTGCGTACACCGTCTGCGTTATTTTTCTACCTGGAACACCACATTACGGAAACCCAACCATCCAAACGGTCTAGCGACGGAGGGGACTTTGAGCCACACACACAAGAGTGAGACAAGTTTTCGTAGAAAATATTTGTACTTGTCGGTTTACAACACGGTACTTTTTGTGGTTGACTGTTACTTTTTATACAGTGTACAATTATTGATCAATCCGAAACGTTCTATAGAACTTGGAATTGGCGGCAAGGATTGTTTGGTCCGGGGGGTTGGGCAACCAAACAGTCCTGATTTTTGTCGAAAGGAAACAGTCGCTAGGGAGGAAACTTGCAAATAATACGAAAGGTGGGAAAAATAGAGAGAGGGGTAGAGAGAGAAAGAGATCTACGTAACATCGCCGTAGTGGATACCAAAAAAGGCGCTCATTTCGATCGTCCGCCTTAGCGGTCGATCGGATGTGGAGCAGCGGTAAACTGGTAGTTCTAGTGGCCTGCTCACTAACACAGCGTGGGACTTAGCCACGTTTCGGAGGCGGGGTGATGTGGGAAAGCAGGATTCGAATCACAGATCTAGCATTGTCCAGAGGGGAAACTAGTCCTCATAGTCCATCAGCGACAACGCACCGGGGATTGCCATTTCCATTGACGTGTCCGAAGGATACACACTGCGTCCGTACAGTTGACAGAAATCGATAAAAGTGTTTTTTTTACTCGCCCTCTGTTGGTGTTGCATCTTGCATCAGTCGAGCGAATAGGTAGACCAGAGTTCCGTTGATTAGTAGTACAAGCAACAGAATCACGTTACGGTTGCACCAGTCCTGTCGAGGAATAATGAAATGTCCCATTAGGAAAACAGCAATGAGGATGAACTAAAGACGCTCAGCTCATAATGACAAAAAAGTGAATGAAACGAAGAATGACCTGTTATCAACAGAGATGAGTATTTTTTCTAATAAATCCAATTTATAAAGACCATGGGAGAGATGGCTCAGTGGTCAAAGCACCACTGACCAGAAGGTCCGTGGTTCGAACCCGACCTCTATATCTCGACTTCCCCTTTCCAGGCTTGAGCAACCTGACAGTAGCCCAACCCTCATACTTCCTTCGGATAGCGTGGCAGCTTTGGGTGTTACAGCCTTCCCTCTCCTAGACGGCTCGGTGGTCAGAGCACGAATTTACTGACCGGAAGGTCCGTGGTTCGAATCCAACCTCTGTCCTCGACTTCCCCTGTCTAGGCTTGGACAACTTGGCGGTATCCCAGCCCTTATGCTTCCTTCGGGTAGCATGGCAGCTGGGCACCGGAAGGGTGTTGCGGCTGAGCGATCAGCACTGCGACGTCCATCCCTGCAGTTGTTTATCGAACCCGTTCCTAATGCAGCCACAAGTCGACAGAAAGAACTTTGTTCTATTGACTTGACACGTCATTTGTGTGCCCACACTAGTGTGTATATCTCAATAGCAGTCGACAGTCACCACCATTTTGTTGATCGCGGTCTCGTCCGCGTCGCCTAGAAAACACTGTACAGCTGTTTCATTCTTATCGCTGATCTTCAGCAGTGCGCATCAAGTAGGCACAGCCCCCGATTTACCATCAACCTTATGTTCTAATGGAACGTCCATTTGACGGAATCGCACACCACTCTGGTTTAAACGCGATCCAGCAGAATCCAGCCGAGTCTCTCCTGTCTTCTTTAACTCACTGACTTGCATAAGACCGCCTCATGTTTCCTTTTGTACGACATCCGAGTTATCGCATTATATTGTCCAGACGAATCACAAGGTTGTTGAAGTCTCTTTGACTACCCATGACTAGTTCTTTTTTTTGGGGTCACAGTCACAGATGTTTCATCAAGTCATCAGTTTCCATCATCTTGTATGAAGGGTCAACATCAGAACATAAGTTGACGGAAACTACGCATAAGTAGAAAATACTCAATTACAACATGAGGTTGACGGAAACTCGGGGATTGCGCCTACCCGATGAGCCCCAAGAAGGGTGAAACCGGTCATGGGTTGTCGACGAATTTTCAGAAACCTTCTGAGTAGTTTCCTTTATGAAAATCCTGATATTTCTTAGGTAGAGCTATGATATTTACACGAGGTATTGGCACAAATTCTCTCATTTGAGTCACTTGCTGACAATTGTTCAAAAATGAGGTAATCTATTAGAATGACTGTAACTAGAATACCGATACATGAGCAATGTCTACTCTGTGCCAGTGTGGCATCAATGACCAAGACTGAGAGATAGTTTGAGGATCACAACATCTAAACGAGTTTGTCAGACTCGCGCTCCATCTCTAGGGTTTTTTGAACGATAATCAAGAAATCTAAAGCACTGTGGACCTCTGATCGATTTGAACAAAGCAGTGTTGATCAACGAGTGAGTGGGATCAATCCATTTCGTACACTGTCATCCACCGCATAAGATACACAATCGATTGCAGCTTACAACTTTAACTTACTTCTAAAACTACCTGGTCAACCAGGAAAGTCCCAAAGCGCCTCTTAGGCTTTTCTGAGCGCAGAGGATAGTCTTGAGCACATATTGACTAATCGTTATAAGCCTGACCTCTGCACCCACAAACAGGATTTATTGATCGGTCACGCTGTTTAAAAAGCTATACGTTTTGCAGCCGGAGTGACTACATCCCGCAAACTTCCCTGCTTAGAAGAATTCTAGCAGGTAGTACGGATGATTTCACTCTGCTTGACGGTGATAAGTTACCAGTGTTCAATTTGTTGGAGAGATCAGAGACTGTAATTGTTACCAGTTCTCTAACCATCGTGTTGACGGTCGAAGGAACAGAGCACCGCTGCACTAGGCTTTTCAGAGACTTCCTCCTGTCATTGAAGCCCATCTGTGCTGAAAATATGACCAAGACTGAGAGATAGTTTGAGGATCACAACATCTAAACGAGTTTGTCAGACTTGCGCTCCATCTCTAGGGTTTTTTGAACGATAATCAAGAAATCTAAAGCACTGTGGACCTCTGATCGATTTGAACAAAGCAGTGTTGATCAACGAGTGAGTGGGATCAATCCATTTCGTACACTGTCATCCACCGCATAAGATACACAATCGATTGCAGCTTACAACTTTAACTTACTTCTAAAACTACCTGGTCAACCAGGAAAGTCCCAAAGCGCCTCTTAGGCTTTTCTGAGCGCAGAGGATAGTCTTGAGCACATATTGACTAATCGTTATAAGCCTGACCTCTGCACCCACAAACAGGATTTATTGATCGGTCACGCTGTTTAAAAAGCTATACGTTTTGCAGCCGGAGTGACTACATCCCGCAAACTTCCCTGCTTAGAAGAATTCTAGCAGGTAGTACGGATGATTTCACTCTGCTTGACGGTGATAAGTTACCAGTGTTCAATTTGTTGGAGAGATCAGAGACTGTAATTGTTACCAGTTCTCTAACCATCGTGTTGACGGTCGAAGGAACAGAGCACCGCTGCACTAGGCTTTTCAGAGACTTCCTCCTGTCATTGAAGCCCATCTGTGCTGAAAATCCGAGAACCAACAGCCAGCTGTTTCATCCTCATTTGGAATCATCAGCAGTGCGAGATAACTCAGAGTTTGGAACCCGCGACCAGTGGTTCAACACCGAGCCGTTTGGCTACGAGTGGCTTATCAAAAGCTTGATTAGTTCTCACCTAGACAGGAATTAGCGCCACTCAACCTTCAACGACGGAAACCACATTACACGGCCATGTGTTGGCTGCCTGCTCAGAAGAGAGTTTCACATATTCAATGAAATCCTTTTTCCTCTGAGCTGCTTAATGGCTCACGGTGTCCTGGTCGTGGGTTGTCGGCGAATTTTCAGCAAACTTATGAGTAGTGCACTACGAATATGCGAATTTTCTGCAGAACTGTGCCGAAGATGGGAATTTCAGCAGATTAAGAGTTACTTGAAATTGGTCAGACTTTTGACAAGTCCAAAGAAGCGAACGTAACTAGAAGGGCCAGCTGAATAGGGCGTACAATGGCAAAGTTATTTTTTGAGGCGCCCACCCGACTTCAGACCAACTGCTTAGTGACTGTTGAGAAGGTGGAAGATAATTTACTCAGATAGCTTGCGAACTGGCTTGCAAACGTTTCACCATCATGTGAAGAGACTTCGTCGTCATGCGGTTGGTTGGGTCACTTCACATTTCTCCCAAATATCTCCCCGTAGGGTGACGAAACTTTCGTGAGCCAGCTACAGAGCCCGGAAAATAGATCAACCGCCACCTGATCGGCGGCCAACTAATCTACCTGAGTTACCGGGGAAGGGAAGAAAGCCTTCGCTTTGGAGTTATTTATTAGAAATTGCTAACTGAACAGTTACAGACTAGTGGACAGGGGAGTAAAACTCTCACCAAAACTGAATATCCGTCTTTTCCTTCCTGAACTTTTCTGGATATTCACTGACTGTTGCTCAAATCCAAGCAAATGCGACTCCACTCATTCAGTAATAGATCTCACTTTTCAAGAGACGTGAAGCGGATTTACGAGAAAACATACTACTCGCATGCCCTCCATCAGTAGTATCACCGTTACTCCGGTAATGAGACACATTGCCAGCACAGTGAGTGTTGGGGGTTGGTATAAACTACTGATCTAGGGTCTTTCGGCGACTCTGACAATGGTGGCTCACTACATAAACTGTCCCCCCAAGCTAGCACATTAGATCTGACCACATCTCAGGTTACAATAAACCCTCTATCCTTCACGGCTGTAGTGAAACATCTAAATGATTTTCAGCTAGCTTCCATTTCCGTGGGATTCGAATCCAGTGTCTGAGGGCAAAATCTTTCAACCCAACAGGGTGTTTCACAATCTAACAAATGACAGATCATCATCAGCGAATTTGCTAAGAAAAAAAACCTAGGTTCTTCATTTCGCCACCAAAACTTACCAGCAAATCAGTGAAGTGAATCACAATTTCGCCTTGTCTCCTTCTGGCCAAATCTTCGGCTCGTTTTGCCTCGGATTCCTTCGTTAGTTGAAGCAACTCGTCCGCAGATAGACCTGGCGGTATGGTGTGTTGCATATGGTCGCCCACGTTCGGAACGCTGTAACGGGCTCCAGCCTGGTAAACGAGTGGAAGCAACGTATCAATCCAAACAGTAGTTTGTGAATAGACTTTAGGCGAGATGGCTCAGTGGTTAAAGCACGAATTTACCGACCGGAAGGTCCGTGGTTCGGACCCAACCACTGTCTCTCGTCTTTTCCTGTCCAGGCTTGGGCAACCTGGTGGTTCATAATTCGATTTTAGGATTGTTGCTCCTGGTTACTGCTCCCCCTAGTAGTTATCAGCTAAGAAGACACTGGTCAATAGTTGTGTCGATTACATAATCAGCTTTGTCCCGAGCGAACCCATCCCTAGTGGGATTCTGACAAACATCAGTCCGGCCAACCGAAATATCAAGTTTACCCTAGAGTCAGAATAGATGAGGACCCATTCAGAGAAAAGTGCGGATCATCATCATCGGCAGCATGACATTAGTGTTCAACACCGATGATTAAGGTCCTCAACCAAAGCCTTTGGCTCAAAAGCCTAATCGCAAGGCAGCGGTGTTTGGCGGGAAATGCAAATACATTACGATTTCTACGGAACAAGTTGCCACATGTTCCAACCCCTAACCTGGAGGGCCAGGAGACTGTGTTCGTCAAACCTCTATCCATTGACTAACCTGGTATAAGAGACTCTGAGTGTCGCGGTGACACTTCCCAGTATAGTTCAATGGATCGCTGAGGTGCGCGAACCGTCACACCACGGTAAGGTCCAGTCTCTTCTCCTAAACCCAAATGGGAATGTCGTGCGAAGACTGATGGAAAAGTTAGTGTTTGCTCGAAAGCCACAGTTATCGTTTAGCTGTGACACACTAACAGTGCCATCTAGAAAGAGAATGAGGGCTGAGATACTACCAAGTTGTCCAAGCCTACATGGGAGTGGTCGGGATGCTGTGGTTGGGTTTCGGACCATGAACCTTTCAGTTAGTAGACTCGCACCTTAACCCCGAGTCATCTCGAGCTCAGATAAAAGAACACGGATAATCAATGCGTCTTTTTCAAAACAACCACACATTTGGTAGCTCCCGAACCGAGAAGGCGGTTTATATCCGTTTTCCCCTCAAACGCGATTTCACGGAGGCTCCGAACAGACACCGAATAGATTTATTCATCGGTCGGAATCCGTTCTGAGCGTGCAACTCAAGGGCAGTTTACAGCCATCTGCAACCGATTTTCGGGTACACTCGAATCCCCAACCAGGACAATCAACCTTCGTTGTACAACACAGTAATCTTTCGAGAGTATTCGTTGAAACTGGCAAGTTGGATAATCCTTGGGAGCTTTTCCAGATAAGCCCCGCCACGAATGCAAAAAGCGCATTTGTGAAAAGTTAAGCCCCAGCACTTTTTGCCAGCTCCAATTTAATGTACGCACACAAACTTGACCTATTTTTGATGAAAACGATTCCATATCCGCATCTAGACTCATTTGTGCAAAAAATTTTTATCTGTTCGGACGTAAAACCTTAAATGAACTTTCTGACGCTTTCAACTCTCGTTCATGATAAGGAAACCGCAGTACGTTTTTCGCAAAGCCACGGAGTGATCCATCAGCAACATTTATGCAACAGTGGCCACCAAATGACACTTTCAACTGTTTCTGAGAGGTGGAGGAGTAATGCCAGACAGTGTCGGCAAATCGGTTTTCGAAAGGGAACTTGGTTGGAGCGGTCTAGGATGGACTTTAGGACAGTAATTTCGTTCATTTATTGCTGGTCCAAAAATTTGACAAAAATCAAGTTCTGTTCAGCAGAGTCATCTATAAGCCACACGACCGCTGTTGATTGGAATAACTTTCCTGGCGAAGTTTACGCCTGGCGGCTTTTGCAGATTCCAACAGTTATCGGTGGCCCAAGTTTACACGTCCAGATCGATGAAACGCTAATATCTGGTCGTGAAAGCCACGCAGGGAAAGTCCTCCCTCAGCAGTGGATTTTCGGAGAGATCTGTTGGGAAACTAGAGAGGTGCTCATGTATGCAGTGCCACATCGAACTGCGGCCGCTTTGATGGACAGGCCTGCGTCGCTCCTGGCTCAATCATCACCTCCGATACATGGGCATCATACCAAGGAGTCGAAACGATGGTTGGCATGAATTATACCCATGAAACGGTTAATCATACCGAAAACTTTGTGGATCCAAATTTCATATCTTCTTTCTTCTAATCTTTTTTTGGGTGGCGGGGGTTACTTTTTTGGCGGGTCTTACCTGGAACAGATCCAATCCTTGTAATTAGAGCCCGATTTCTGTTCATTTGATAATCGTTTGATCGATTCTAGCCGTTCCGTCGTCCGTACAACTGGTAAAAATTGCCCAGCATGTTTCAAATGACCGTGGGAAATCGTGACAGGCAAATCAATCGGTCGACACAACCGGGACAATTACCGGGTCGTCGCTTGACCAGCCGGAAAGTTGGACTATTTACACGCAACGATTCAGGTGGGTGCACTGTGCCCTGTTGGACTAGTGGTAACACGCTCGCCTCGCATGTCAGATGTCCGGAGTTCAAATCCTGGCACAGCCACTCTATCTGCACTGCTGATGGGGTCTGATAAGCGCGAGACCTTGATGTGGACTCACCAGAATAATTACGCCAGGACAGAAAGAGGACTGTTCAAACGAGGATTGTGTGGACGTGAATTCTACAAATCCCACAACCATCCACAACACAAATCACTCCAAATTCACTTGAACTTGGCTGACTGGTGCCTCTGAGTTGAACTCTGCCCGCAAAAGCAGATCATACGAGCCATGAATACTAATCGGCTGGCAACTGCAACTCAGAAAAGACCGCTATTATGCAATCGCTGGCAACGACCTGTCTCTTAACCCTTGTGTAGTGAATTTCTCTGTGTCCAAGTGTCCTTCACTCTTAGTTACTGCATTCCTATACATTGTGTTGTAAATTTTATGAGAACCACGCACTGGTTGTTTGTCATCTGGTTATTCCAATGCTTTTGTCGACCTGTAACTGACGCCATTCTATCCTGAAAAGCTGAAGAAGCACTGTACAGCTGCTTTATCCTGATTGGGAGCCAGCCATCACGTGATCACCCGATGTGGATCCTGTGATTGGCTGAAGGTGTGGTGCTAGGTCCCGTGAGCTATCCAGACTGTTGATTGGCTAATCATGGCCGAACGGTTGTGTTCAAACTACGAACCGGGACAATGTGGGTTCGAACTTTCGAGAACTTCGCGCCGCTGATGATTCCCAATAAGAATGAAACAGCTGTGGAGTGTTTCTTTGTTTTTCTGTACATATTGGTTTCACTGACAGAGTCAAATGTTTATTAAAAATTCCCGAATTTCCTTAGGCCACCAACAGCGCTTGCTTCAGACTTCAGAGATTACCTTCTACCGAATGAATTGACAGACCAGTTCACAGACAAGATTCAGCAGCATTCTTCATCCCACAACATGATTTTATTTGTTCGGGCGAAAAAGCCGGCCGAATACCTCTTGAAATCCAAAGCTATCCCATAGTAAAATCACTCGTAATTTGATTGGTCTATCGCAGCAGAAGGAAACTCAAAGTGTGCAACTAATCGCCTCGGGATTTGTTCGTCACAACGAACTACGTCGTGGAGCAGCCAGTGTCATATACAATTCGTGTTTATCTGCGTGCACAACCTTCCGAACTCCACTGAAGCTCGCAACCCCGGTAGCAATTTATCCGAAAACATCTTGTAACCGGGGCTCGTGCAGTGGAATCTCCCACCAATAGAAAGTGGCGGCTTTTTCGGAATCGACTAAAAAAGGTATGAAACTTGCTTATATAGTTTTCTGATCAGCAGTAATTTCGAGTACACACATTGATTATGGTCACCTAATTTGGACAAGTTAGTCTGAGGCTCAGTGGGTCAATATATGGATTGATTCCACGGGATTCGGAACAACCAAGAATGTTCTCGATGCAGGCAAACATGACAGAACCGATTCCATAGTCTAATGTGTATTCTGATGGGTAACTGATTTAGAGGGAGCATAACTGTTCCACTCAAGGTCAATACATTTTTGAGTTCCATCGCAACCAAGACCGATCAATCCGGTTATTGGCCTGATTTAAACTTTCCGCGCTCAAAAAGCGTTTGTGATGTAACTGTATAAAACGGATATGAGTTTATTCGTTCACTTTCTTTGCAGGTTGTTTATTCTTGGAGTGCGTGCGACTGAGCATTTGTAGAAAATGGTGCTTGAAATGACTCCCAAGGTTTCTATCATCAGTAACAATCTACGCTGAAAACCGAGAAGCTCTTCACAACTGTCTTATCAGCACTGTGTCCGACAAAGCTCAAAGAGACTTTAACACATGACTTTCCGGCCAGTGGTTGATGAGCGCCAGTCATTGATGAGCGGCTGAATGGAAGGATGAGTAACTTTCAGTTGATGATTGGTTTTCCCGACTTTGACAACGCTTTGTGACGGAACGATATGGGACCAACGCTGAAGGCTTCCATTCATCAGCCCTTGCCCTAAGTGAGATGATGTAGCATGCGTATACTTACCAGCAGTAGACGTAACCACTTCAGCTGAAGGTCACGCCTGAGCTTCCGTTGAACTCTGAGCATCGAGAGAACGGCTACGGCCTCAGCGTTTACCCAAATAACCTAACCGGCGTACATACACGGACGGTGGACAAAGGGATTTGCTGACAAAAAGCCACTTACAAACAGATACCTAAGAAGTGAACGGAAAACCTGTTGACTGATACGATCGGGTTGCAAAAGCCAAAAGGAAGTAGTAAAGAGTACCATTTACTTGCAGATGTTGTCTTGTTCCCGTCAAGGACACGGCAGGTTACGTCAACATCGTGTGCCGGAACCAGCCAAATAGCTCTATGGAGGGTGAGAGTGTACCTATTTCCATCGTAGCTCAATCTGTTTAGCTGGTCATAAAAGTGATAGACGCTACGGCTGGATACGCCCCAGTCTTGGACACAACCGAGTCCATCGCAACCCAGAGTCTTGAAGCAGGGAAGCTCCTAAAGCTACTATGAGCCTCAACACTAGTTATCTCCAGGACAAGGACTGTTCAACGTGGCAGGTTCTGATTGTTCACATGTCACAGTTCTTCTCTTCTGTTTCGACATCTGAATATGACCAAGTAATAAACTGTGTAGATCCAAAACACTTCCGCCCACAACGCACTGGTGGCGTCTCACCCGACCGGTGATGATACGTCTGCAATTAAATGGCCCCGCTCAGCTAATAAATCAGTGACAATCACTACAAACTCTACTACCAACTAAGCTTCAATTACAAGTCACTTCGGAAATTTACCTGTCTCAGATCCAATCGTGATTCCTTGAAGCTGGTTGGGAGCGCCGGCAATTCGTCTTGCACCTCTTCGAGCAGTACGTTGGATACCACAGGTAGGTCATTCACGGTTCTACTACTGGGTATGGACAGTTTTTCGCCGGGTACGCCAGCCTCCGCTTTTGCACATTTTGGAATTTCTTCCTGACATGTGAGTGCCAGTGGTTGTTTATTCGTGCTTGGCAGCGCATTGCTCATGATCGGGGGTTCCGCACGCACTTTATCTCCTTTCCTTTGTGAGTACAACGTATAGTTGATCTGGGGGTGCATTATTTTTCGGACACCTTCGTCCACCAAATAGATGTCTGCATCCTCCGCTTCTTCTTTGATCAGTTCAACGGAACCTCGGCTACATAATACTTGATCTCGGTGAATGTTAGTCACTATGCTGTATTCGTTGGATGTTGGTGGTGCGAGAGAGGTTGGAGAGTGCTGCACTGGGCTGACTGGATCATCTGGTCTATGATTCTGCACACATACAAAAAATGGAAGACATATATCAGTCACATTAGGAATCGAGATATTTGGGAAAAAAAGTTCTCGGAATTGCAAATTTACCCGTTTCGCCTCAGCATCTGGAACGTTCTTCATATTTCGTTGTGGCTTGGATAGGATTGGACGCTGGGTGAGAAACACAGGAACTGTGCGTCTTCGAACGAGGACATTAGGGTTAGGTTCGACTAAAGTCGAAGTTAGCTGACCCGGTGACTGAGGAATCAGGGGACCGTCCAACGGGTGCTGTGGTTCTGCTGCACCTGAGTGACTGGTCGGAGAGGGTTGTTGTGTCTTTTGGTCTAGTTCCTGTCCAACGGGAGCTGTATACTGACCAAAATGGTCGGTGAGGAGATTTGTGTTGGTCATCAGCTTGGATAGTGGCACGCTGGGGATTTCGGACTCGGGGTGTAATTCGGTAACTGAAGGGAAGACATCAGTGCGAAGGATTACCAGTAGGCCAAGCTATAAATGGCGTCAGAATACTGAAGAATACATTTGAATAAAAAGATCCATGCGGGTAAAATAATTGAATATTACACATAGTGTTGCTGAAAATTCTTCGACAGCACACGACCGGTTTCGCCCTGCCCGGGGCTCATAAGGTACTGGAAGTCCTGGAGTTTCCACCTAAAACCAAATTGCATAAACAAATTTGGTTTTTGTTCATAGTCACACCACTCTCGTCTGAACGGTCGTGCTCCAGTTCTGGTGTAATCATTCCGGTGTGCCCACCCCAAAGAGAAGCACTGGAATCGAGTTTCCCTCTCAGTAAAGCGAATCAGCAGCGCTTACCCTCAACGGCCGTGCCGGGATTTGAACCCCGGCCATCTGACATGCGAGGCGAGCGTGTAACCACTACCCCACCAACGCATGTTGGACGGATCTGAATTTTCACGTCTGAACAGGCAAACGTGTTCACACTTGAGCGATGTGATTGGTGTGCCCGACTCATCGAACGACGAACCAGTAATTGTCCCGGTTGTGACGATCGATTGACCCGCCAATCGGGACTTCCCAGTCAGGTAGCGTGGCACACGCTCGAGACCCACTGGGCAGAATTTCGGTTGCAATTTTGGGGTTTTGCGGGATAGGTATTTTTCGTTCATAGCCACACCACTCTCGTTTGAACGGCCGTGTTCCTGTTCTGGCGTAATTATTCCCATGGTCGTTAGTTTTGAGGAGGTAAATAGAGCAGAACAAGCTGCACAAATTATTTGTCTTTCGATTTGGAAGTTGTTATTCTGACTCTGGGTACGATTCTTATTCGGATGTTATAACTACACTTTGAGCTGCACTATGCTTTTTTATTCTGGTGACTGCCTGATCTATTCAGCGTTTTGTAGAAATCACTTTCAAAAGAATACTCGTGAAAAATTCAACTTTCAGAGCCTCGGTCGTTGAAGCCAGTTTTTTTTCAAGCTTTTTGCGGCAATTAGCTTACTTCTTGGGATCTCGACGTAGGTAGTTTTGACCGATGGGCTTCGACTGATATTTGTCCCTTCAGGACGTGGGTGATCGTTGTGGTTTACTGGGATTCTGGAGTCCATTGGGTCAAACAAGTTTGGTTCACCCGGAATGTTGAGGTACATTGGGTTCCTGTAATCACGGAATTGTGTCCCATAGGTTGAATAGTCGTTGTAATCTGTGGGCGAATTGGTCTCGTAGTTCGTTATCTGTGGTACGACCAGAGTCAGTGGCTGACTGGGTGATGGACTCGGCATTTTGTCCGGATTCTAACAACATGAGAAAGGGGGAACAGTGGTTCACGCCATCAAAGGTGTGGGGAAGGGCAGTGCACTCTAGTTTAGTGTACAATATTCGGCTGTCCTAGGATGTACAACATTGAGTGGGGATAAGAGGAACCCAATGAACGTATTTTACTTGGTGAAATGAAGCCGACAGGACTTATGGGTAATTAAAGCGCCGGCAATTAGATACTTGTTGTGACTTGTTGACGTAACTCTCTATCGGCCCCTTGGCTTCCTGCTCCGCCCATCATGGTATATCAAAAGGCATGGTAGCTCTACACAGCCCGTTGTGGAGACGAAGGAAGATTAATACAACTGTGTTTATAGGATATTCACAGTGTTCGACAAGGCCGTGCTAGAATCTCCGTGAGGGGTCGAGAAGCGTCGAGTTACAGACACTCGATCCGGATTGGCTGGCATTCTGACCAATTAGGGCATGCTTCCGATTGGTCCGTGTCCCACGTGACACATCCGTCCAAATGATGTGATGTTCGGTTATCAGGGACGGCTGACCTCCGGACAATACCCCATTAGTTTCAGCTTAGCTCAGTCATTGAGACATTTCCCAACTTATAGAAATCGAATGCAGTGCATATCGTTGGCCAAGCCGAGGTTTAAACTCCCCAAATCTAACAGACGAGGCAAGCCTGTTGCCACTACTCCACCTGGCGAACGCGCGCCCACCTGAGCGATGTGATTGGCTTAAACAGCCGGTCGAATGACGACCCAGTAATTATCACGGCTGTGCCGATCGATTGACACAGCTGACAAAACTTCCCAGTCAGGTAGCACCGGGGACACTTGAAACCCGCTGGACAATTCTCGATCAATTGTGGGTGTTTGTGGGAGTTGTAGAGTACCCATTCATGCCACCATTGTATGAACAGTTGTTATCCTGTCCTGGCACTGTTATCATTAGCATCCAGCATGCGCTGGAGTAGTTGAGTAGTGGTAACACACCCACTCCTCATGCCGCATGTGCGGAGTTCAAAACCCGGCACGGCCAAGGACATACCCTGCTGATGAGCTCTAATGGGAGCGAAACTCGAGACCAATGCTCCCCCCTTAGGTGTGTGTCCCATAAAGCTGACCTATCTTGGGAGGGAATACTATGTCGGATGCATTTTTTGTGAGAACAACGTATTGGTTTGCTTGTGATTCTCAGTTCAATCGATTCATTTCTCCGCTGACGGTACAGCCATCTTTAAGACTGAGCCAAGATGACCACAAGATCCCTTCGCAACTGAGCCTGATTTTGAGGCAGTGAGAATAACTTGGTTCGTGAAATGCTTAGCCATATGCAGGCGAAGAACGTGACATTTGTAGAATGACGATACGGAACTCAGAGTGGACTGTGGACAAAAATAGTCTCCTTTTACGTTGAGTTTCCTCTTCTATCAGCGTTGATCTCTGTTATTTAGTATTCCATCAACAGCCCGAAGCGGAATTTTCTAGCATTAGAACCGACGCAAGCCGTCACGTGGTAAGCCTTTAGTTATGGAACGGATATCAAAGGCTCCGAAGTGAAACTTTTAAAAAAAATCAGTAACTCACCATATCTGGGGAAATGTATAGGTTGGTCCGACCTTCTGATTTCTGACCCCTGTCCCGGTCACTGTTTGGTCTCTCTCCATCATCGGCTTTACCTTTGGCCAGACGACGAATCCGATAAGATCCAGCTCGAGAAATCAAACTGCCTTTGGTTCGTACTTCGAGGTTTCTGCTAGATCGCCGACTGTCCATTTCAAACTCTTTACCGTCTTCTCCAGTCGACTCTTGCTTGGCATTTGGATCTACTGTCAGTCCTGTGGTAACCCCAGCTAGTACGCCTTGCGCCGCTTCCAACGCGGATTCGAAGGCCAGATTACCACGTTTTGTAACACGCATGAGGCGTACCATGTCGTCTAAATATTTGATTCCTTTAAAAAAAGTACAAAGTGAGCTTTTTTGGTCAGCCTTTCAGAGTAGTGCGAGATGAAAACGACCGGGCAATTATTAAACTTGGAAGACTTCGTTGGGGCCAAATACTGTTTATGTGAATACTGGATTATAGATGATCTGTTACGGGGGTAAGTTTGTAATCCAGCGCGTTCCTCTAAGCCTCATTAGACCACGTGAGATTGACGGCCACAGCGCACCGCACTGTAGGCTTTACCACAGATCTTTTCATGTTAGAAAGCAGAGGAGAACTATATGGCTGTCTTATTCTTATTAGAAATCATCAGGAGTGAGCATCTCAAGAATAGCTCGGGAGAGTCGCATCCTCAACCTTCTGGCGAGTAGTCAACGTCCATGCCTTTCGGCAACGCTGGACCGGTCGGTAGTCTGAAGACAGAGCAGGAAACCACTCATTCTTCAGTCACGTGATTCACTTCACGTGCTGACTAGCTACTCGAGTGCCACACGATATGGTCTTCAACTACTAGCCTGGTTCAAATCACCCGGTGCGCAAAATTCTGAAGATTCCCAGCAGGACAAACAGCTGTGCGGTGTCTTCAGCATAGATCGCAATGACTTGTGCAATGAAACCTTTAAAAAAAATTGGGATCTTTTCCAGCTAAGCCCTGCCACGAATGCAAAAAGTGCATGTGCGAAAAGTTAAGTCCCGCCCCACATTTTGTCAGCTCCAGTTCAATGTACGAACACAACCTTGATCTATTTTTGATGTAAACAATTCCTTATCCGCATCGAGGCTCACTTCGTGCAAAAAATTTTGTCCGTTCGGACGTAAAACCTCAAATGAAATTTCTGACGCTTTCAACTCTCGTTCATGACAAAGACATGACAATACGTTTTTTGCAAAGCCATGGAGTGATCCATCAGCAACGTTTATGCAATAATGGACACCAAATGACACTTTCAACTGTTTCTGAGAGGTGAAGGTGTAATGCCAGACAGTGTCGGCAAGAAATCGGTCTTCGGAAGGGAACTTGGCCGGAGCGGTTTAGGATGGAGTTTAGGACAGTAATTCCATCCGTTTATTGCTAGACCAAAACTTTGGCTGAGAGGAATTATCTGTTAGCCACACGACCGCTGTTGACTGGAAGTACTTTCTCCGCAGAGTTTGTGCCTGGCGGTTTTTGCAGACTCCAACGGTTAGTCATACCGAAAACTTTGTGTATCCAACGTCTGGAGCTCACACACTAAATATCGAAACTCTTTGGCACGTCTACAAGAGGCAGAATAAACGCCAGGGCGGCACACACCGATCTTTAGTATACAGTTACTTGTGTGTGTTCGTTTGGAGGCAAAGGTACCGAAAAACGGACCTTTTCATGCAAATTATTAATGACATGTCCCAATTTCACCCTCTTCAACAAAAACTAAAAGTATAAATTTCATATCCTTTTTTTCTAATCTTTTTTGGGCAGCGGTGGTTAATTTTTTGGCGGGGCTTATGTGGAAAAGATCCAAAAATTACACGAGTACTTTCAGTTACCGAGACTAGACACAAAACTGTTAATTTTATCCACGATAGGTTTGGTGTGATGTTTATTTACTTCGAAAAGAATGGGACTAGATGAAAAGTTAGTAGGCATATTCTACCTTGAGGCGAATGCTCCGCAACTGCTTCGCTTCCCAACATCCTGACGAACCAAATTTGCACATGGCAACTGTAGAAGTCCACTTTTGTCTGCTTTTCCCCTAGTGGAATCCACTTTTTCCGGGTCTGCCCACGGATCAATCACAGCCCACTCACTGTCGAGTTCTAAACCACATATTTCCGTGAAACTGTCATGTAGATCTGGTCTTTGATTAGTGCCCCATATTCTTACTTCGGAACTCCTCACTACCTCAAGTAAGTTAGATTGTCCCGTCTGCCACAAGTAGTTTTTCCTACAATCGTCCATGTAAACATCAGTCTTATTGATTAGGCAAAAGGCAATTTAGTATCATCGGGTATTTTTGGGTTTCTGCGCCCTCTGCTGTTTGATTCTGACTCGTTTCTGTCCCAGAAGGCCGTTTTGTCGGTACAAAAGTCTCTAATCAACTAACGACCACGTAAAGTAAATGAGGTGAAAAAGTGTATGGACAAGCCTTTGAAAAATAAATTCTTTCTAACCAGTGATAGAACTGCATTTGATATCCTCAAACAATCTATGTTTTACAACCATTCTGCATTTCTAACACAGGAGCACATTTGTTTCTCAGCTTCTAGTTTTGCTAAATATCACGCTCAGATGGATTCAGCCATATTCCGCACAATTTCTTTCAATTTCCCCCAGGCGAACTACACTCTGTTTAACTTTGTCGGCTCCGTTGTTGGAACTCTTAGAAGGTTGCCTACAGGAACTGTAAAGATTATCTTGAAATCCAGGCTGAGTTCACATAAGTAATATAATCTCACCGAAAGGTAGGTACTACAGGGAGATAGTAATCGTCCAGTAGATGATATTTAAGTCCCTAAATGTAGGTGTTTGAACAAACAATTTTTCTCTTAATTTTACTGCTGTTTTATCAAGCACACGCGACGAACAGTCATGACCTAAAGCCAATTTCTTATAAGTGTTACGCTTGATATCAGCTGCGGTCAGATGCATAAAATAGGTCGAGAAGATAGAAATTTAGTTTTAGGCGGTTGTGTGACCTTTAGACATCCTACAACCATCTACAACTAATTCAGAAACTGTCCAGTAGGTTTCAAACTTCTGTGACACAAGCTGACTGGGAGGTCCTGAAAGGCAGACCAATCGATCCAGAACAGTTTCTGAGTAATTGTTCTAGCCATCGGACCAACCAGTCACATCGCTAAAGCGCACACATGCTCGCCTCGCATGTCACGTGTCCAGGGGTGAAAGGACATACACTGCTGTTGACTTTTTGACTTATTCCATTGTTCGCACTGTATTTATTTTATCATGCAGCAAATAGTGAATAAAAACGACTATCTACCATAGTAAAAACTGTTATTAGTGCATGCACCTTCTGAGTTATGTTATGGCTATCAATTATCATCAACTGTGCACCAATATACTTTCCTGTAGACAGTCTGATTTACGGCTTTTCTCATGTTGGCAAAAGCGCCCTTCGGGAGACATAGGTTTTGAATCCTTTGCGAGTTGAAGAGTGAGGATAAAGAATTCTGTGGAAATCTGGTAAGGGATGTTTCCTTTCAATTCATAACTATGAATGAACTCTCCACTTAGTTTTGTCTCAGGAGTTCAGCTGCTAAATGAGATTTTCAACTCTGACTACTTAAAGGAAAATAAGTAACTAAAGGACAGTGTTTTTTATGGTTTACCGTTCCGCTCGAGCGTATCCGGTAAACTAACCGCAAAAGAATTGTTCGTTTCGGATAAGAGCTGTGCTTCCGACGAAATTCCAATAAGAGTGAAAGGAGGAACTTTTATAGACGGCCTAAATATCTCCTAATATGACAAATATTAGCTTTGGAGATCTGCGGACTAGAATCGTCCTGTTCTAAGACACCCTTCTAGGACTTAAAACTAAGGAGATGATCACTCCGGCGGAATGCACCCATTTGTATATTAGGACGGTGCTAACGCGGGGACTACGCCCACCCGATGAACCTGAATAAGGTCAAGAGTAGTAATAGGCTGTTGAAGAGCGACCATCAAGCAAACGTGTCGTGCCAACGAGATACCACCCTCATTCGCAACAGGCAGAATTAGTCATAAACTGTGTTATTATTGGATAACTAAGCCAAGGTGAACAGTTCCGGGGGGGCATTTTTGATCTCGAGATAGCTCGGTGGTTCAGGCGCGACTTTCTGGCTGGAAGGTCTTTGGTTCGAATCCAACCCTCTCATCTTTACTGCTCCTGTCCGCGCTCGGGAAGCCTTGCATCATCTACACAGCCGTGCTTCCTTCGGGTGGAACTACAGCAAACCAGTGTAAAAGCTGGACGCTGTTGAGTTTCGGATACGATTGGCTGTCTGCGCCCCCTCCCCCATGTCGCATCTAGTTGGATGCTGTGAGACAATCAAGAGGGCTGTTGAGTGATCTGGCCGATTGATTCGTGTCACACGACCAAGGCAGACTCAGCGCTCGTACGAAATGTTTTTGACAGCACAGTACCGGGTTTCGCAGGCGCATAGCGACTGCCTCGGCTGTAGTCAAGCAACTGGCAGTCTACTTGACACGCGGTAAATGACTTGAAATGATTCATTTGACATGACTGCATACCCGGTATCAATTAGGTGGGACGCATTTAAACTTCTGGCTGAACTGTCGAGGTTAGTGTTATTCCTGTAAGGTGCTCGTGTATTCTCCTACAGAGTTGCCGTGTCGTGCATCCAACATACTCCGCTGAACAACAGCAGGAGAAAGAATACACAACCATATTGTGGCTGAGGACTGGCATCTTGTCTTTCAGGTTTAAGCTGAGCGAAGTGTTGGTTGTAAACCAAGACCGCAGAGTTCCAGCCGGAAACGTGCGTTGTAGGGATTTAAACAAGCGGCGATTGACTATGTCCGCCAACAGATCACCCTTATACCGTAAAATCAAGTATATTGGCTTCTATCCGACAGTCGTGATAGGCGGTTGGATAGGGCGGTCGGACATATTCTTGGTTATAAATCTATCCGGGTAACCATTGGCTCGGAGCAATGTGCTGCAGTTCAGAGTCCAGTGTATCGGCAGAGCAAAAATCACGAGACTGTTGTTCGAGTGGATGACCACAACCCATTCTGCTGAGCCCACATTCCGCTCGCCGCTGTTTGGTGTGCGGCATTGACACTACACTGTGCCGGTCCGTGACAGACCTGTGCACGTGTTGACACTACGAACGTGGATTGTGAAACCTACGCGTCACTCAAAGTTCCGTATTGGGAACCTCAACACTCAGTTTGGTGGTTGTCATGAGAACCTAAGAACACCTGGCTTTCATTTTGAGTACAAGTAGGTTTTCGCCTTGCAACGCCGATAAATTGGGTAAAATAGATGAACAAAAATGGGTAAATGAGTAAATTTCTAACAGTACAAAGTGGAACATAAATGTTGCTGTGATCCAAGGGGATGAAATGCCTTTTCCGCTAGTTAGAGTTAATTACCGAAGTCAGGACCTAATTGATATTTGTGCGGTTACCAGTCTATAGCCAATATCATTTGAGTTAAGCATTCTACAAGCTGACAGTACCATCTGCCAATAGTTACACGGATTTGGAGAACAGCTCTCCAGCCAATCAGCAGAACTTCTCAGTCCAGTGAGCAACGTTCAGTTGCTTCGGTCAGTGCAAAGCAATCAGCGACTTCGAACAAAAAATATCGATCGATCCCGAATGCTGCCGAATCATTCAGAGATTGGATCAATAAAGAGCGAGGAAATTTGTGCGAGCAGCGAATAATACTGTCTAATGAAAACCAAATGGCTTTGTAATAGTAAACGAAGTTATCCCCGCGGTGAAACGGATAGACTGGCCTCCGTTTTACCCCAACGTCGGAATAAAGCTTTTCAAACAAGTTGGCGTTGTTAGTATGGAATCTTAGACTATAGGAAAGTCTATCGTGACCTTAGCTAATTGTTTTCACCCAAGGTGCTCCTTACTTGCGGAATCTTTGAGTGTTTGATTGTTTCTTCGTGATCCATTTTAGGGACGAAATGACTTAGTGGTTAGAGCGCAAATTTACTGACCGGAAGGTCTGTGGTTCGAACCCGAACTTTCCCTGTCTAGGCTTGGGTGACCTGACAGTATCCCAGTCCTCGTGCTTTCTTCGAATGACGTGGCAGCTAGGCACTGGAACGGTTTTACAGCTGAACGATTTTTTCCCACCCATGTTCCTACTATGCTACCAATGGCAACGAAGTCTTTGGTTAAGCACTATTGCTTTTGATCTCGCATTCGTAATGCTCCTCGAGGGTCGCCTGTTTTGAATGCATTGAGGTATCCTCTAAGTCAATCAATGTAACAAAGGTCCTTGGAGCAGAGTAGTTATGGGCTCTCCAAAAATTGTTACTGCTTGCTGATGCATTGTCATCAGAGGTTACGTATACAATCTTCAGATACTTTTGGTAGGACAATCACATTCGACTAACGGCATATCCTTCCCATGTAAGTCGCTTAACTGTGATAGCCTTTGACGTCCTGCTACTGCAGGGCGCCTACTTTCGCTGTGGTGACTGACAGCTTTGCTAGCTGCGCGGGCAGCTGGAGCATTCATCCACCGACGTCAAAGCAGCACGGCAAATTTGACCCTCAGGGAAACATGGTTCGACAGCCTTCAAAGGACAGTAGGTATACTCGGAGGATGATGACGATGATGATGGCTTTGTGGTGGTGTAAGAGATGGTGTTCATCGTTGTCTTGGTGGTCGCGGTAGTGGTGTTGGTCGTGGCGATCGTTGTCATGGTGATGGCCGAAGCGCGGTGATCGTGGCGATGGTGACCATGGTCGTTGTCTTGGTGATGATGGAGATCGTGGTTGTACTGCGGTGATGGTGATGGTGATGGTGATGCTGCTGCTGCTGCTGCTGCTGGTGATGATGATGATGATGATGATGATGATGATGATGATGATGATGATGATGATGATGATTACAATGATGATAATGATGTTGATGATGATGATGACGATAGTGGCCGTCGTGGTGTCGGTGGTGGTCATGATGGTGGCGACGGTGATGCTACTGCTGGTGGCCATCAGCAACATTCGACCAAACACCAGAAGACACGTTGATGCATTACAATGCTGGTGTAATTGTGCCTACTACTTATGGGGTATGCGAGTAGTATGTTTTTCCCGTTAATCCGCTTCGCGTCTCTTGAAAAGTCAGATCTACTACGGAATTTGTGGAGTCGCATTTGCATGTATTTGAGTAACAGTCAATGAATATGCAGGAAAGTTCAGGAAGAACGATCAAGGGGAGAATATGGATATTCATTTTCGTAAACAAGAGGCATGATGTTTTCTAATAAATAACTACGGTGTCTGGTGACCGATTTGTAATCATCACAAAAACGGAGGAATAACCGGTATTCCTTAATGAAGTGATCCTGTTCGTTTTTCGAAACACATTCCAGTGGTTCCGTGGAAAGTTCTCGAAAGATCGAAAAGGTTAATGAAGATACGCGAGCAGCTCAAATAATATAGTATGTGGGGAATGTCACAGGCTTTGTTCATGGTATTTCTCAGTCACTTGCGCTGGTTACTTTTGAAGTGTGCTATCCTATGGAACAATGGCTACTACGATCTCTATGGGATTGACTTCTCTAACTCAGTAATACCTTAGACAATCGAGAAGAAAGCCGTCAAGTTTTTTACTTCAAAATGTTTGGCGACTTCATTGCGAACCATCATCGTAATGCCATGAAGTGATTTACACTTTGTGTCTAGTTGAATTATCCAAATTGTCAACTCACCTGGCTGCTCAAAGTCTGGATACATTTCTTTTACCAGTTCTCTTGTTTCAAGAGAATAATCTCGAGCCAGTTCGGCCGCCTTTTTCGACAGTTCCACTATCATGTGAACGTTTTCGAGGCTGAATTTGAAGGGGGAATGAGATCACGATAAGGTGTGCTACACAGGTGTTCTCTGGGTTTTTGGTAATAAAGTATATGAATGTTGAAAGCTGACATATTCTAAAAGTTAACGGCTTGTTTCCACTGATTAGTTCACCTTCATAGCAAGCCTCTCTTTATCCCGCACTAGGTTTCCGAAACCTGATCTTTGTCAGGAAGTTCAACTTCTTGAAACTTGTTCCACAATGCTAATCAGTAGTGGCACTGATGGAGTAGCCCTCAATTATCCAGGCCAGTGAAGCCAGCTTCCGACTGAAAGCCCAAGCAATTGATTGATTCACGAACGGTCGACAAGTGCTCAGGCACGTGACAGAAGCACAGCCGCTGATGCTGGGTGTTCACCAAACACCGAATCTATATCAGAAGTGTCCTTTAAAGGTCCCTTTTGCACTCCCTTGTTCAAGTTAACGATAAAGATCCTCAACTTTCATTTTTAAAAATGTACCCCATGATCGATTGGTAAATTGTAAAAATTTGGGATTTGTACAGACTGAAGTAATGACTGACATCACTGGAAACAGTAGGATTTCTTTGTCCAAAAGCGTCACTGTCTCCGAGACCATATCACAAATAATTAGGTCTAATATTGGCAAAACAGTTTTTAGAATAAGCATCGAATGACTCTCATCAAAGCCGTTACAAGGACGGTCATTACAAAGGAATTAGTAACCGTGGTCGGCTAAACTCGAGTGAACTTTGTCCTAATTACGTTACTGATCTTTCCGTGTCAGCTCAAATGGTCTATTCATCGAACCACCCGTTCGTTTGCCTAGGTAAATTCGTGTAGATGCTAGACCCCTAGTTCCAAACCAGAAGAGAGTGAGGGCCTAGGTCTATCGTGCAATCAGCATGAGAGTTTTCACTCCATCACATTGAGCGCAACGAATGACATACATTCAACAACCATACGGATTAAACGGGCCGAGATGGCCCAAGTGGTCAGAGCGCGAATTTACTGACTGGAAGGTCCGTGGTTCGAACACGATCTCTGCCACTCGACTTCCCCTGTCTAGGATTGGGCGACCTGGCAGTATCCCAGCCCTCGTGCCTCCTTCGTGTGGCATGGCAGCTAGACACCGAAAGGGTGCTACAGCTGGACGATACGGATTAAACTCAGGATCACATGCGCTGTTTATTTCCATCGGAAGTATTGTTTGACGCATCGATTCAAAAGTTTTTAGTTTGCAAGACAGTGGACGGCTTTCAAATAACCGGTCAAAGGCAGTGAATTACCAGTCACGAAAACGCTGCAGGTGTGAGAGAAACAAGGTCTTGTGAAAAGTCCCGTGAATGTTTTTGAGTGCTTTCATCTAACTCACTAGGAGTACTGAATATTCTTCCCTCTTTATTGTGATCACCTCCATAATGCGACCAAAGTTACCAAGCTTTTTCAAGGAGACAAAAGGATAGGATTGGTACCGTTAGTTGTTCGTGCCATGTATACATTTCTCAAAGGGAGTCAATATGACCAGTCTGATTGTTTAAAATTTACTATCACGTGTGTAAACCACAGAATTTTCTCGAAGCCACAACGGGTGATCAGCCGTTGCCAATTTTGCCAATTTTACATCTCCGGGAAAATGAACATGACGTGGTTTGATGTGGACATACATTAATCCTGTTGAACAAAAAAACACCTTGAGACTTTTTTCCACCTATTTTGAAGACGGCTCTGACATGAAAAGTACTACTGATTTCCCATCAGAGGAGTGTCTTTCTTCGGGGGATCTCTCTCTTACTGGTGCTTACCCCTCTTGGGCCTGAATGGTCATTAGCCATTTTGAACACTATCCAAGAATTACAATGAACTGTTCTCAGACGGTCAAGAGGTCTCTAGAGATCTAACATTTGTCATTCTGAAAGTGCGAACCATCAGAGGTCATAGAATCTCAGGGAAATGTTAAACACGGTTGATTAGAACTTAGACATACTTCTCTCTGGCTTCTGTTGCACGCAGTCTCGCTTGTTCCGCAATCACCCGGGCGCGTTTGACGGAACTTCCCACCCCCATTTTGATGTGGTAATTATACAGGAGCATGTGTGGTTTGGTTCCTTTGGACCAAGAGAGAAAAACCAACTTGCCGTACTGGTAGCGACCTTGCTCACATGTGCCATCTTGGAAGCGTGTTTGCCCATAGCCATGTCGCTGGTTCTTAAACCACTGACCTTCATAGGTGACTCCATCCGACCGCTCACACACACCATATCCGTGTCGTGTATCGTTTTCCCACTGTCCGGCAAATGTTTCGACCGTCTCCGGATCGATAGCGTCCTCCTGTGGCGAGCGATAAATGATAGCACACTAGTTTACAGGGTTTATTCACGTGATTTCAAGCTGTCAAAAGTATTGGCGGAATGTGGATCGATCGCACGATGCTAATCAAACATATTTGGTCTTTGGGAGGATTGTTAGGACGCCAAAACAGTTTGCAAAGCACAGTGAGGATTCTGTATAAGTTGGACAACTGAAGATAATTCGTCTTCCAGAGAGTGAAATTTTGATGGGGAGTTTCGATACAAAGCAATAAAACAACAAAACAAGGAGAATTTAACACTTTCCAGAGGTCCGCTTCTTGGAAATCTAACACTTGGGAGTCTCGGTCCTCTAATCGAAATACGCCACGCTATTAGGGAACAGTCCTCATAGTAACCGCGTTTTTCCGAATTCTCAGGCCGAAGAGCAACTAAACGGCAACAAATCAGAGGGTGTCACTTACATTCAATGAAACTGCTCCTATAATCCCACTAAAGGATGTCTTCAAGCAGATTTCGGGCAAAGTCACCTAGATACCATGCAGCCAGCTTTTGCTCACAGTGAATTCATCTGGTTGGGGTGATATAGAACATGGATGCCTACTGGGAACTTTCTGCCTTCCATCCCTTAAGGTGCTTATCTAACCATGTCCTTGATAAACCGAATAGTAGAAAGTGCATCACCTTATCTTTGCGAGTTCATCTGACTCCTCGGTATTGATTGAAATCTTTGAAAGAGATGAGCTGGAATTCTCTGAAGTATCATGTCCAAGCCTACTCACGCAATACAGCCGTATGCACACCAAATTAATTTTAACGGGAGGCCCAACTGGATCGCAACTGAATCTCCCTGGTGTATCTAACGTGACCTTATGACAGTTTCTCCATTCATTTGATTACTCCGCCTATGTACTTTTGATCTCCAATGGTTTTGCTCATCTGTACCCGTCATCCACCTTCTCCCAAAGCGGTCCGGCGCTGGTGTACTAGCTCCGCAGCTGACCGACTTACTCACGTGCGTTCGTATCCCGTTTGCTGACCTTGACTTGTTTTCTCATGCGTACCGCACAGCCAATGGGAATCACGAGATTGCCGTCGGAAGGGACGACCGCAACCTACACCGCTGAGTCATCATTCCGCTCGCCGCTGTGTGGTGTGCGGCGTTAACACTGCACTGTGCCGGTCAGTGGCAGACGGTACGTGGCACTCGGAACGTGAACAATTGAGGTTTGTTGTACACATTTGCTTGACCTTGTGTAAATAGTACCGTAGAATTTCGAACCCAATTCTTTCTTTGGGATTGTCGAACCTCGATGTTGCGTATCGGGAACCTCAACACCTCCCTTTACCATGTTTTTCAGCTGCATATTCCCTACAAAGAAGACCCCACGCTTAAGTGAGCATGCTGTTCGAGATATCGCGGTATTTCCCAAATCTGGACCAAAGAGGGGCATGAAGTTGATAGGAATTCGAAGGCCGGCCCACCTGATAAACCTTAGGTAGGTGAAAACCGATCGTCGAAGTTTTCAGCGACTTTATGAGTAGAATGTTTCTGTCAAAAAAAAGCCAAGCAAACTACTGCTGGTTAAGACATTTCTTTAAAACGATTTGAACCAGAGTTTTTTAAAAAAAACTGCCAAGCAAACTATTGCTGGTCAAGACATCTCTATGAAACGGTTTGAACCAGAGTTTTTCATACATTTGAATACATCTGAGCACTGAAAGGTTATTTGAGGTTTTAAGGACCAAACTCACCTGATCCAAAGTAAATACCGATTCTGGTGTAGTCTCATCTACTTTCCCGTAGGTGGTGCGTTCACTTGCACTACCTTGACGTTTGAAACGGTGGATAGATTCGCGACTTAACGAACGTGTAAACAAATTGGTTAGCGAGCGGGTTCTGTGGTGTCCAGATCGTGGGACTACGTCCCTACCGCGCCGTGGTTTGCTCACCCCGGAGAGTTTGTCTTGACGCCGTTGCACAAGTTCGCTCCGCTGAGAAGACAAGACGAATCCACAACGAAATTTACACGACATACGCAACTCCCTAAGTCCCGCGGTGTTTGATACTCCACCAGTTGGTGTGGCTCGGCGACCGGAGAATGGTTCATCTTCTTCGGGTGCTTCAAGATTTTCCATCTCCGCAGCTTCACCAGAACGTTGGCTTAGCAGGCTACCACGACGTCCAAGTTTCTGGGACGCTTCTGCCGCTTCCAGTGCGGCACGGCGTTTTGCTTTCATTTCGGCAGCCAGTGCAGCTTCCTCGGGGAAGAAATTGATCACTTCTCCGTATGGAATGGACGTGCGTACACCCAGTCCATCCCGAATACCGTTTTTGTATTCGCCAGCGTAACTTCCTGTAGACAGAGAACAGTATATGGACGGTAGAAAAAAGACGATAGTTTGAAAATATGGCTATTATAAATCCGTTCGTCAATTTGAAAAAAATCGTTCAGCTATAGTACCCTTTCGGTGCCTAACTGCTATGCCACACGAAGGAGGTACGAGGGCTGGTATACTGCCAGGTTGCCCAAACCTAGACAGGGGAAGTAGCGAGGCTGAGGTCGGGTTCGAACCATGGACCTTCCTGCTCAGTAAATTCGCACTCTAACCACTTGGTCCACCTCGCCAATTAAGGCAGTCCACAAAATAGATGTCAATGCAGAAGTAAGTTTCGTCCCGTCAATGAAGCTCATCGGTGTCAAAAAAGCCGAGAAGCACTGTACAGTTGTTTCACCCTCACGAAACTCAGATGCTTTCGACCTTCCGGCCAGTGTGGTTCACCTTAACCGTTGACCAGCGGTGTGCCTGGTCCCAGAGCTTAGGTGAGAGATTTTTCAAACGGTTTCTTAATAAACGCTGCATTTTCCCCTATTTTAGGAAAAAATCCTCTAAGGAAGTAAAATATCGACCAGAGAGATTATATGCCTGTCAGATGCAGATACAGAACTTCGAAAGACCCTAGGCGCAGTACAAACGATGTTGAAAAGCTTGGGCGTCTTGTGAAGCGTTTCAATCTGGGAACCAGTGAAATGAACGGTAGAATGGACGAAATCACGTATTCAAAAGAACACGAATCAACCGATGTGACTAGCATCAAGTCGGGTCAACTAGGCTTCCAAGCAATTCTCTGGCGACTAGTTTGGGTGAGCCCCGACGAAACAGCGGAGAACAGATCCACACCGTCTCGGTTGGCGCAACCGTCTTGTGTGAACTGCAAAAATAGCATCTTTCAGCGTGGGGGCCTTTTCCAGATAAGCCCCAAAAAGATTGGAAAACAGAGGATATGGAATTCGTAATTTTAGTTTTTATTGAAGAGGGTGA